GAACGAAAACGTAAAACGTCGCGCGGGCTGGGCCGTGGCGGATCACGAGGTCAGGAGATCCGAGCCATCCTGGTGCTAAGCATGGTGAACCCCGCATCTCTACTAAAGATAGAAAAAAGTATCTGGGTGTGATGGCAGGCACCTGTAGTCCCAGCTACTTGGGAGGCTGAGGCAGGAGAATGGCGTGAACCCCAGAGGCGGCTTGCAGTGACCAAGATCGCACCACTCGACTCCAGTCTGGGCGACAGAGTGAGACTCCATCTCAAAAATAAAATAAAATAAAAATACAAAACAATGGCTGGGCACGGTGGCTCACGCCTGTATCCCAGCACTTTGGGAGGCCGAGGCGGGGATCCAAGGTCAGGAGGTCGACGCCATCCTAGCTAACCACGGTGAAACCGTCTCTACCAAAAGCATACAAAAAATTAGCCGGTGTGGTGGCGGGTGCCTGTGTCCAGCTACTCGGGAGGCTGAGAGGCAGGAGAATGGCGTGACCCGGAGGCGGAGCTTGCAGTGAGCTGAGATGACTGAGATGCCAGACACCAGGCCGGGGACAGGGAAGAACATACAAGATTAACTCTATCTGGGAAAGGAAACCTTGGCCAAGTATGGCATCTGATTTCCCTTTGTCCTTCAAGGGATCCGGCACCTGCCGGATCGATGGAAGATGAGGTGACGGGACCCAGCTGTCCTTTACCTGCAGGAACTCCACTGTCTTGTCAGGCAGCTTGGTGCTTATGAACCGCAGTGTCTCTTTGTGGAATTTGCTTTGCAGATGCTTCTGGATCTCTTCATCGTCAAAGCTACGGAACTTGCACACAGAACAGGCAAACTGAATTCTGGGGAAGGAAAACAAGGAGGGGAGTGAAGCAGGGAGCATCAGCTCACCTCTGGGGAGAGCTGAAATAGAATCAGGATTTTCAGGAATCTTTTTCTTTTTTTTTGAGACTGAGTTTCACTCTTGTTGCCCAGGCTGGAGTGCAACAGCGTAATCTCAGCTCACTGTAACCTCTAACTCCCGGGTTCAAGCAATTCTCCTGCTTCAGCCTCCTGAGTTGAGTAGCTGGGATTACAGGCCCCCACCACCAAGCCTGGCTTTTTTTTTTTTTTTTTTTTTTTGAGATGGAGTCTCGCTCTGTCGCCCAGGCTGGAGTGCAGTGGCATGATCTCAGCTCACTGCAAGCTCCACCTCCCGGGTTCACGCCATTCTCCTGCCTCAGCCTCCCCAGTAGCTGGGACTACAGGCGCCTGCCACCATGTGCCCAGCTAATTTTTCTATCTTTTAGTAGAGATGGGGTTTCACCATGTTAGCCAGGATGGTCTGGATCTCCTGACCTCGTGATCCGCCACGCCCAGCCTCGCGCCACGTTTTACGGGTCCCGTCACATGCCTTACTACCATCCAGGACAGCACGCATCCTGGGATCACAACTCACCTTTGAAAGGATCTGGTTTTGGTTTCGCAGTTTCTTTCTCCATCAATTCCTGACGCCGCTTCTCAATTTTCTTATTTCTGTTTACAATGTATTCCTAGGTGGGGTTGGAGACGGCATAAAGTAAAATGAGAGGCTGGCATGTGTGGACATTTCTCAGCTGCCAGGGCTAGGCAGGCAGCTATCAGAGCAGTTCCATGGGCAGCACAGCACTATGGCCGGAGCTCTCGGTTGTCCCCCTCAGTTTGAGCTGATTCCTGTGTGCGCAAGTACCGTAGCTTTGTACGATGAGAGATCAGAAGCATCTGCAAGCAATTCCACCAAACGAGACACTGCGTTCATAAGCACCAAGCTGCTGACAAGAACAGAATGAAGTTATCCTCTGCAAGTAAAAAGGAAACCGCTGACGGTCCGATCCCTCTCATTCCATCGAACTACACCGAACAAGAGACTGCCAAACCGAGATCCTTGAAAGGGAACAAAGAGAAATCAGATGCACATACAATTTGGCCAAGGGTTCCTTAAATCAACTGATAATGCCCGCTGTGTACAGATCCCGAGTCTAACTC